ATTCTGTGATAATAAAAACACAGATGGCAGCAGCGGGAAAAAGCACCAAAAACAGAGCGAAACCTCAGAGATCATCAGCACCTGCTTTTCAAGCTGAGAAAGTGTGTGTCGCATTTTGGTCCAATGTGCATAAACAACATAAGTTGGGAAACTTACCCAAAATTTGACGTGCCTAAATCTGAGGCCACCTTTGAGCTTAAGGTCCTGGGCCAAATGGCCCTACACGCACACACACACACACACACACACACACACACACGGTCGTGCGGATGGTGTGGACCACTTTTCTACAGGAGCAAGTTACACTGCTTCCAAGGCAGGTCTAAAGACTGTCCATGCATTCGGATCTTGCCCGTGTAGGGATCTCGGCACCAGGCGCCACACCACACCGGCTGCCTACTTGGCACGCGCAAGAGCTGTCAGTCCCCTGCCGCTTAGCAAAAAGACACGTGCAGCCATCCAAGGGGAGCGCTGCTAGCCTTGGCCCCGTGGTAGCCTCTACCACGCCAAAGGTTTTGACTGCCAGCATTGGAAAGTTGGTTGATATGTTATTTAAGAGTTTAAAGTGACTCAAAAGGCAACCTGGGGGTAATGCCAGGTATCCGTATTGATAAACGAATGGCCGAATTCTGCAGCCTGGTCGCATGCATGCATGCTTACTCAAGAGTATGTTCCGTGCTTTTTAATAATATTTTTAGAAGCATATGAGTCAACTCCTAGGGCCCCCAATAAAATATTTGAGGGGGCTAAGCCCCCCAAAAGTTTATGGGCATTCAGATGTGTGTGTGCCGCATCCTGTGATAGATTTTGCAAGGCGGTGCTTACCTGCCGCCGCGCCCCCCGCCCCCATTTGTTATTCTAGTTGGCACCCTTGTTTCGAAGTAAATGCTCAGGGAATGGCCATTTTACACGAAGCAGCCAGATAACAGGCAGTTTGGCTTCGCTCTCTGTCAGTAACTTTTCGGGTCTCAGTTTCTCGTCTGTAAAACGGGAAGGGCGGCTGTCTCACAACCTCATGAGCCTGTTGTGAGGATCAATGAGAGACGCACTTTGCTCAATAAACAAGTTGTGGGCATGTTTATTCGGAAGTTAAGCCCAGTTTATTGAGCGAGTTTACTTCCAAGACTGTGTGGGTTAGATTGGACTCCGTCCTGTATCGCTTTACATTGATGGAATGAGTGGGTGTTTGCATCGACGACATTGGCTTCATTGCCCCATAAATGCACTCAATACTTTCTAAACAATTACTGAATATTATTATTTATTACACAACTTCTACACCAATTGCCCAAAGAGGACAAGCCTTTCAGTGAATAACGACAGAGACAGAGACGGCCACTTAGAAATCCTGTTCTATATTTATTGCTGCATTTCTCAAGTCAAATCTTAGGCAATCTATCTGTGATTGGCTACCGAAGTTCAAAAGTAGGAAAAAATATTTTCCACTCCTTAGTTAGCTGTTCGTTTGTTTCAAATCTCTTTCAACGGACAGGTACACACGCTACAAGGTGGGTTGAAGAGAGCCGGTGGCATCTCTGCCCTGACCACATCTGTCTAATATGGTTCCCACCAGACTTGATCTCAGGATGCTTCGAATCAAGGTCTTGAGGACTTCTCCATGCCCCGTTTCAGGCAGTGGCAGTAGCAAGTTCAATAGCGACATTTTAAAAACAACACCCACACTTAGTGGCACCTTGTGTTAAATACTCCGCTCCCCTGGAGTGCCCTCTGCACTAGAGCGGCATTTGGCTGCAGAGGATAAACTTCAGCGCCACACCAAGTTCTCCTCGATCTTCTGAGCCATCGCGTGTAAATCTAGATCTTCTTCTCTTTGAAGTGGTTTTGGCCCTGCAGGCTGGTCCACGGTCACCCAGTGAACCTCATGACTGAGTGGGGATTGGAACCCAGATTTCCCAGGTCCTAGTCTAACGACTACACCACGCTATACCTAAGGGGGCCTGCCCCATACCTTTAGTGTGTAAGGGGGAAGAGGTGTGCCAGGTCTTATTCCGAGAGTTGTTTTTTCTTTTCTTTAGCTTCAGATACTGATTTTTAAACGCCATAACCTGGTTAGCAGTTTCTGAGCCCATGGATGGCCTCGATTCTATTGTGAATGTAGACCGGTGTTAACAACGTTAGGGAATGAGTTCGCAGTTATTTCATGTTTCTGTATAGTCTATTGCTTTGTTTCATTTTCCTTCTACTATTTTTAATGGTTGCTTTTTACTGTGGACCTCCTCGGTGAGAGAGGGGAGAGAAAGCGCAGCCGCCTGCCAAACAGATGTTGCGCTACTTCCAAGGTCTGTACTCTTGCATCTGATGAAGTAGACTGTTGCCCAGGAAAGCTAATACCTCAAGAGAACCTGCCAGACTTTTAAGATGCACTTTTGGCAATTTAGCGTCCAGTCGTGTGAAATGAAGATGACAGGCAGCATGAAAGGATGGCCGTAGGCATTATAAGAGAAGCCCTTTAAAGTTTAAACATTTTGCAGAAGACATGGGCGGGGAAGAGAGATTGGACGGGCGCAGCCCTGGGGATTAGTTAGCGTGTCCTTCTATGAAAAGGAGTCAAGAGGGTGTGTTGGTCTATTACCTTTTGCTGGTGATTTGGTTATTACGCGTTTGGAATATTTACTGGTATATAAAGTAACTGCGACTGATTTAATTGCAGTCTCTTACCACGCTTGGAAGCATAACATATCAATGCATTTCTGATAGCCCTGTTGCAGCAAAGACAACACAGTCGGGTTGTTGACTTCTTGAAATAAACACCCAACAAATCCTAACAAATGTATTGTGGCATGGATTAGAGTCCACTTCACAAGATGCATCTTCAGTTAAGTTATCATCAGTTGGCAGGTCTACTTATATACATGATAGGGGAAAATAAAGAAGAAAGAGGGTGCGGGGGAAAACATTGAAAACCGTGGAGTCAAGGGAAAAGTGCAGTTTACCCTATTCAACGGAAGTATCTTCTTAAGGTTTTATTCAAGCGTTGTTTGTTATACAATTCTGGTTTAGAGGGGGCCAGAAGTTCTCAAAAGTCAACAGAGGTGAAGAAACATATTCAGATGAGGGAGAATGATCTCCCTAGCTACATATATTTCAAGACCTTGCTGTGGAATCCTAAAGCTTATCTATTCTGGAACGATATATCCATGAATCAGTTCCAAAAGCGGGGGAAATGTGTGGCAGAAACATAAACTGATCTATTTAAGTCCTGCCCCCTATTTCAGGCAGGCACCAGAAAGACCCACAGAGTTATCTCCACTGGGATTTCCTTCTAAGATCAGGACAGTTCCCTTTACATGGCATGTCAGCTGGAGGGGTTTGTTGATTGAGATTGGGCGCCATGAGTTTTTGTACAGATTTCTCATCAACTTCTGTAGGTACAATGCCTGTAATCTTAGCCACACAGTAAGGTAAGGGGACCCCTGATCATTAGGTCCAGTCGTGACTGACTCTGGGGTTGCGGCGCTCATCTCGCTTTATTGGCCGAGGGAGCCGGCATACAGCTTCCAGGTCATGTGGCCAGCATGACTAAGCCACTTCTACTGAACCAGAGCAGCGCACGGAAACGCCGTTTACCTTCCCGCCGGAGCGGTACCTATTTATATACTTGCACTGTGTGCTTTCCAACTGCTAGGTTGGCACACATTACAAGGAAGCAAATTCCATTGACATCTTCAGGAAAGAACTTCTGTTCCAAGCATTGTGCTAGCTAGGATATGGGGCTTCATTTCTCCATTCTTAAAACAATCTTCACTACTTGGAGACCTGTCTCCTACTGGGAAGTTGAGAAATCTTCACTGAGGACCAAGAAGTACACGAACGAGCATTACGTTTCTTAAACACACCCCTTCCATTAGTATCTTTCTTAAACACCCCGTTCCAAAATTGCTCAAAGGTAAACCACACTGATGTCCATGGGACATAAATGACAATAAATATTCTTAGTTAGGCTTCAACGTCTAGGCCCTTACTTGGGAATGGGGCTAGCTGAACTCACCTGAGTAAACATGGGTAGCACCGACCTGAATGTTTTATAGTGTAGTTCCAAAGCAACTTATACTACAGCCTACTACATTTTATAAATAGTGATTTCAGATTTTAAACTTGACACGCATCCCCATCCTAAACATATTAAATTGAAAGAATTTCCAGAGAGGTAACCCTGTTATATACTGCAGAACACCAAGGACAAGTCTCGTGGCACCTTAAAAATTGCCCAACATTGTCTCATGACTCACGAAACTTTATGCCACGATAAATCTTTAAGATACCATAAGTCATTGTTGATACTACTTCAAAGTAGAGTCCCACTGATCTCAATAGAACTTTCTTCCAAGTGAGCTGAGATCGGAGAGTCTTTTTGGTGAGATTCTTACACACAGATAAATCTTGAGGGCTTATTAAAATGTTGCCTTTCCCAACACCCGCCCAGAAAACACCTGCGCGTCAAGATACACTAGCGGAAAATTATATTCCTTCTCAGCAAGCACAAAAGGCATAGGAAACAAACAAACAAAGTTCCGTACAGGAAAGGAAGAGAAGAAGCAGAAAGGAAATTTTAGAAGGTTGAAAAAGTCCAGTAGCTTAAAAACTAAATAACTTCTGCCGGTGCCAAAAACGTCTGTCGCTGCTGCTATTCCCTCCCCCGAAATGAATTCTTTGCAGCTAAACACGCCACGGTTCCAGAAGATCAGGCGGACACCAGGGTGCGCGCGATTTAAATTTAAATGATCTTTTTGGGGTGAAGCGCATCTTGAACCGGTTCGAATTGACATATATATGCCCTCGGGATTTTATTTTTTTTCGCCGTTACGGCCTTTGCTTCCTAGTAGACGCTTAGTTCGGTTCGAGTTATTTTATTATTTATCCGCGTTCCTGGTGGTTGTGTGTGACCCCCTTTCGTGGCCCCTCCCCGAAGGCTCCCCATCCCCGCCCTGCTCCCCCCCTCGCCCTTCCCCGCCAGTTCCATAATAGTTTGTACTTCTCACCTCCGGACGTCACTCCTCAGTGCGCCATGCAAATAATCCCCCGCCGGCGCGCTCCGATTGGCCAAGGCAAACTAATTTAATCCCCGTTCGGTGCGCGGTGTATGGCTGCTGGGCTCTTCTCTCGTGGTATCTCTCGGCTGCTCCTCCTTTCCCGATTCCTCCCGGGCTATAGGAGGGAAACCACAGAGAACAAATTACTGTGCAAGTTCTGCTGCCTGCCTGGGAACTCTTGGCTTTCCCCTCCCCTCGCTCTCGGCCCCCCTCCCGCGCGTCCTTACTATTTTCTTCCTTTTCCCCTCACTCACCCCTCCTCCTCCTCCCTCTTTTCCTTCTGATTTAATTACTCCTTTCTTTTATTTCCCCCCTCCCGCTTTTTTTTTTTACGCGTGGTGGAGGCGGCAGAGGGGGAGGGGGATTTCCTGTCTCTTCGCCTCTGTTCACTTGGGACCAGCGGATGCGAGTCACACACGCTCCCTCCCTCAACTCTCTCTCTCTCTCTTTCGCTGTGGAAGTTAGCGGAGAGAGGGGGGGCGCGCGCATTAGATCACTTCAGCCGCCGCGAGAAGGAGGGGAGCGCGGCTGCCTGCGTGTGCGCGTGTGTGTGTGCGGGAGAGGGAGAGAGGCGCGCGTGTGCTGAGCCGAGGACGCAGGAGAGCGACGAGAGAGCCCGGGCGCGCACTTCCCCGCCACCTCCTCGCCAAAGTGGATCGGCCAGACTTTCTTCGCCGGCGCCGTCTTCCGCTTCTCCCCCCCGAGCCTCCGCCCGGCACCTGTTTGAGCCGCTTTTGACTCCAGCTGGACCAGAAACCGGAGCGCAACACTCTTGGAGAGGGAGAAAGTTTTGCCCGCCCGAGGAGATTCCCGCGCGCGCGCTTTCGCGCTTTCCTCTCTGAGCGCAAGAAGAAAACAACTTTCTCCCCCACCCAACCCCAGCACCACCACCACCCCTCCTCGCTCTCGACCGTCGTGGTGAACTCTTATATAATTTACTTCTCCTCGGCACCTCCTCTTTCCCGCCCGGACTCGTCCTGCTGGTCGGTTCCCGCTCGTGCGCTCTCCTCGGCGCGCCGCTTCTTCGCCTTCCTGCGCTCTATGTTTTGACGCTGTGGAGCCTGGTGGCCCCCGAAAGCTGCGCGAATGTATAGCATGATGATGGAGACGGACATGCACTCCCCCGGCGGAGCCCAGGTCACCACCAACCTCTCGGGCCAAACCGGAGCCGGGGGAGGAGGAGGAGGAGGTGGAGGAGGCGGCGGCGGGGGCCCCAAGGCTAACCAAGACCGGGTCAAGAGGCCCATGAACGCCTTCATGGTTTGGTCTCGGGGCCAGCGCCGGAAGATGGCCCAGGAAAACCCCAAGATGCACAACTCGGAGATCTCCAAGCGCCTGGGCGCCGAGTGGAAAGTCATGTCGGAGGCCGAGAAGAGACCCTTCATCGACGAGGCCAAGCGGCTGCGGGCGCTGCACATGAAGGAGCACCCGGATTATAAATACCGGCCCAGGAGGAAAACCAAGACTCTGCTCAAGAAGGACAAGTACTCGCTGGCCGGAGGGCTGCTGGGCGCCGGCGGCCCCGGCGGAGGCCCTCCGGTGGCCATGGGCGTCGGCGTGAGCCCGGGCGGCGTGGGCCAGCGCTTGGAGAGCCCCGGCGGAGGCGGCCCCGGCGGCGGGGGAGGCGGCGGCGGAGGCGGCGGCGGCGGGGGCTACCCGCACATGAACGGCTGGGCCAACGGCGCGTACCCGGGCTCGGTGGCTGCGGCGGCGGCGGCGGCGGCGATGATGCAGGAGGCGCAGCTCGCCTACAGCCAGCACCCGGGCGGCGGCGCCCACCCGCACGCCCACGCGCACCACCCGCACCCGCACAACCCGCAGCCCATGCACCGCTACGACATGGGCGCCCTCCAGTACAGCCCCATCTCCAACTCGCAGGGCTACATGAGCGCCTCGCCGTCGGCCTACGGGGGCATCTCCTACGGCGCGCAATCCCACCAGAACTCGGCGGCGGCGGCGGCTGCAGCGGCCGCGGCAGCGGCGGCCGCCTCCTCCGGGGCGCTGGGCGCGCTCGGCTCCCTGGTCAAGTCCGAGCCCAGCGTCAGCCCGCCCGTCACCTCGGCGCACTCGCGGGCCCCGTGCCCTGGGGACCTGCGAGAGATGATCAGTATGTACTTGCCCGGCGGAGAAGGAGGGGACCCGGCGGCGGCGGCGGCAGCCGCGGCGGCGGCCGCCGCTGCCCAAAGCCGCCTGCACTCCTTGCCACAGCACTATCAGAGCGCCAGCACGGGGGTCAACGGCACGGTGCCCTTGACGCACATCTGAGCCAAGGGGAGGAAGGGCGCACGGACGGACGGACCAGCCAAGGGGCGCGGGGGCGCAATGGAGGGTGTCGCGCTCTCTCTCCTGGGAGCACCCTCGTCCCCCTCGCCGCCACTGCTGCCCATCTTCCCAGACCCACCCCCCGCCGCCCCCTTCCTTTTGTACAGAACAACAAGAAAGAGAGAGGAAATGTTTTGATGACGTTGTAATAAGAATAATAATTATAATAACAAATATTCCTAATGGTGAGGATAATGAAGAGAGAAGGTAACAGATTGCTCTAATGCTGCCCCCCCCCGTCCCTCCCTCTCTACCCTAAGGACTAGTTTCTGAAACTGGGGGTTGGGGGGGGAGTTGGGTTGTTATATTTTCCTTCTGTTGTTGTTGGGTTTTAGACAAACCGTCTGTGTTTTAACTGAGATTTTTTTTTGTACAGTATTTATCATTCACCCAGGAGCCACAATGCGTTTATATTTGCTAAAGCGGGGGGAGGGCAAAAAAGACAGACAGACATAACTATAATTGTTAATTATTCGAAGATCTAGGCGACGCCAACTTTTCTGCCACACAGAAGCACTAACTGGTCAATCTTTGAGCCGCTTCTTGTGAAGACTTTTTATTGCCTAAGGAAAGCAAAGATGTTGGGGAGAACTGTTCTCGTTTATAACACAGTACCAAGGGATGCAAATCCAAAACCACGCTTAAATTCTTCTTCTTTTTGTAGTTCTTACGAAGCGGGGTTCTTTATTTTTTCTTATTTTGTTTATTTATAAAAACATTTTTATTTTATTTTTTTGCAACCAGCAACGATATTCTGGATTTTGTAAATGTTTATTACGTCTGCATTTTTTTTCCTTTTGTTAACTATTTTTTGTATTTTTTTTCTTCTTGTAAATGCATTGTGGAATAATTTTAATTAATTTTAGGCGTTACAAGGGAATTCATAAATGTGTATATAGTTTACTAAAAAGGCGTTTCCGCTAAAAAAGGAAAACAAATAAAACTCTAAAGATGCGTTCGATTCTGAGTTATATCAATTTCAAAGTGAAAGTGCAACCAGTAAATCCAAAATGTACTAATTCATGGCATGCCTTAAAAACTAGAGATTGGAAATTGACTATATGTATAAATATAACGTGAAATATAATAAGATCAGCAACCACACAAATCCCTATTTGGGTTTAGACTTTTCACAGTTTCTGTGATCGCGAACAACAACAAAAAGGGGGAGAAAGTTTTTTTTTTTAATGGTGTAGTTTTTGGATATTATTTTAATATCTGTTGAGTATTGTTAAGGAAGGCGACCGATTAAAATACTTTCCATAGCATTCCTTGTTTATTTTGTTTATTTCTGGCACGGGCTTATTGAAACATCTAGCTTACAGTACTAAGTTTTCTGTCTTAAGTTAGTGAAGCGGTTTTAAATAGGTTTGGACGGTTCTCTCCCCCTTCTTGGCCCTAAGGCTAGATATAACTCCAACATTACTGGACTCACCATGTTTAGGCTAGATACAATTATGATGCTGAATACTGATTAGACAGAAAAACTACCATAAAAACTGTTTCTGAACAAAGCCACAATTTTGGGCGGATGGGGTAGGGTGGGGAGTCTATCTCTTGTCCCAGCACTGTCTTCTCTTCTTCGGAATACCAAGGAACCTTGTTTGAACCGTGAATGCTGTTACACTAAAATGATGCATTTGTTTGTACGGATATCATAATGTTGTTTAATTGCATAGAAATTTGATTTAAAGTGACTTTCTCCGTTGCCTGATTCTGAAGTGGGAAGTCGATATTAAACTTGATATAACAGTAAAGACACAGTTTAGGCTACATTTTACAATTATTGTTTCAGCTTTTTTATTTATGGCTATTGAACGAAGGCGGGGGGGTGGGGTTGGGGGGGGGGAGGACTCTGTGAAGTCCAGAGCGGAAACAAAGCTTAGAGCAAAGCAAATGAGTAATTGGCTCCCTGTGTTCATTTATGTATATCAGTTGGCTGCAGCTCCGGAAAAAAACTTGCCCCGGAGCAGCCACCGTTGGTTTTCTTTGAAGTCCTTGGGCGTACTCCAGGTTACTCCAGAGTAAAACCACCCGCAGATGGCAGGCACTGCTGCTTACATGCTCCAAACACATTACCTGGAAGTAAGCTCCTTGGGTTTCAATGGATCTTTTATCGAAGTGATCTGTTAAGGCCTGTAGGCTGGGCTATTCGGTCTCTGCTAGAAATGGTTTATGGGGATTAACTTCCCCATTCTCAGCCTTCCATATTCGTTTGAATTACTCATCCTTGGAAGTGGTCGCCAACCTTCGTTCCCAAATAACCTTGTTGGTTTCTGTAATACAACTTATTCTTAGCCTTCCTTTCACCCCTTTTGATATTTTGCTAGGCCCTCTTTTCCTGACTCCCTCGCTCTGCAGACCGGCGTCTGAAAGCTGGGTGGGAACTCTTGCCATGCTCTTTGGGCGAGTGTGTGGTTTGCTTGTATCAGATCCTGCCCTTTTACAGCAATCCAATCGATGTTGGGCTTGTGCATTTTTCTCCCTCTCCCGCTCAATCTTTAATAAGGGGTTTGCCACAAAGGAAAATACCAGCAACCGGGCTTCGGTGAAAAACCATACCCGTTTCTTCAATGCACATGCGCCCACAGATGTTGGCGAGGTGTGTGTGCCAATCCAAATTTCTATACATATATATGAAATGTGAATAATCCTTTATGGTTTCCAGTTACCACTCATTTAACTGGCTGTTGTCACACACAGAGGTCTGATTTTTGGAAATGTAATAAACCACCAGGTATTTGTGAAAGCTATCTGCGCTTCTCTTTGCATGCAAATAGCGCCAACAACTTTTCTGGAAGGAAGGGGGCGGGGGAGGGGGGGAGAGAGAGAGGCAGAAGGAGTACCAAAAGGACTTCACATTCTCTGTTGTGTTTGGGGAGAGGAGTTCTTAAAGTCATTTTGCTTGCCCCTTAACCCTCGGTGTCCTATTGCCTACAGCGCTACTATTAACTCGTGCCAACTAACACCCATGTTCAAATGAACTGCAACAAAACTTTTCAAAATTTACTATTATTCTTGTTATTATTATAATAATTAGCAACACAGTCTAGGCGAAGTTAAAATGCGTTATATGTTCACTGGTTTAAGTGCTGAAGATTTAAACGTGTGCTTAACTCTCTCAATCAAATCAATGTCTTTGGTTAGATTGCGCCTCACTCCATAACCCAGAATCAGAATGATTATTATCCTCATTTAGTTGACTTTGTTCGGTGCTTTTGTTATTCTTATGTGCATGTATTTGCTTTGTTGTTTTTTCTTTCCGCGGAGAAGCAGGTCAAATAATAACCTTCATAAAACCTTGTTCAAAGCCCCACACCAGTTAAATGTAAGGGTTTTAATTTTATTTTATTTTTAAGAAGAAATCATTAGACCTCCTGGGAAGCCACATGCCTGAATAATTTAATATGCAAAACTACATAAAGTTTTAAACGATTTCCTGATTTAAATGCTTTATTTTTCATTCTGAGATAGAGAATTGTTCGCCCTCTGATTTGATCGTCGGATCTGCTTCTGGTGTATGGAAGATTTCATTTATACTGAACCAGTAGCGTAGCGTGGGTTGTCAGCACCCGGGGCAAGGCAAGTAATTTGCGCCCCCTAACCCGTGGATTTGCGCCCCCTAACCCGTGGATTTGCGCCCCCTAACCTGTGGATTTGCCCTAACCCCAGATGTTGCGCCCGGTGCGCCCGGCCCCCCCTGCACCCCCCACGCTACGCCACTGTACTGAACGCACCGTTTTCAATACTGCTTGGAGGTCATTCCAGATACACTTAGCAAAGTGTATACAGAGTGAAACACAGGATGGGGAAGGGAGGGCTTGAGGGAGCTGCTGGCCGGCCGCTTAGTATCCCTACATCTAGCCTTTCCCCCCTCTCCCTCCAGGGTTTTGGGAAAAGCCAAAGCAACACCCAAACCCAGAACTTAAATCACAAAACGTTCGGCATTGACCTGCTGATTTGCGCTGGCTTGGAAGATTAGGGCTGCGGGTGGGCAGCTCTGTTTCCGCCGAGTGCTTAGAACTGGCAACACCTCTCCCAAAAACAAGCCTCAAGTCTACTTTCAAGCATCCCTTCCCCCCAGCAGAGGAGGAGGAGGAGGTCCAGCAAGGCCATGGACCAGTGCGCATCCTGGGCCCTCCCTGGCCCGTTCAGATCTTATCTTGGCCAAGTGGGAGGCGGGAACACTCCGAGATCTGCTCAGAGAAGCGTGAAGGGCCGGCCCCAAGGCCTCGCGGGCCGCCACGCTCGCACAATGGGCCCCCAGGGGACGCCGTTGCGGTTGGGGGAGCAGTTTGGGGAGATGGCGGGGGCTGGTGGCAACCGATCTGCCTTTCCCAGCTCTCTCGCCAAGCCGCATCAGGCCCCTGAGAAGAAGAACAAGAGGAAGGAAAGGGGGGCTGAATTCTGCGCGCAATGTCAGTTGTCTCTCCGTCCCCAATGCCATACCCTCCGCCAGGGGCAAGGCGGCCCACGGAGTTGCTCAGAGTCCAGATAAGTGGGAGCTCAAGAGTCCAGAAAAGGCGTCGGAAGGAAGCTGGCGTCGTGTGACACCAGGATTCCCCGGCGTGGCCTGATTTAGTGGGAGAAATCGGTTTACCTTATATAAGCGCTATTTTGTTTTATTACGCGCCAAGCCCCATTTCGCTTTAACTGGGGAGCCTAGGAGGCACTTCCTCCTATTTTACTCTTCCTCCCAGAGTCTCCCGCACTTCACCCTACGCCTAATTCTTGCTTCCAACTCCTCTTTCTTTCTTGCTCACCGCTTAGGCTCTGGGAGTTTGTTAGTTGCAGTCACTTCTGCCCCACCAGCACCTGCTCGGGGAAGCAGGCGCCTCTGGGGAGGAAAAAACTCAGCTTATGGCGCAGTGAGATCTCCCTCCTCTTGTTTCTCTTTTTACCCCGGCAAGAGCCAGATAGGGACTGACTTGTAAGCCGTGCCAGTAAGTTCGTTTTAGGGATTTCGAGGTGGACTTCGCCCCTTTCCTGGAGAAGCAGGCCTTTCCCTTTCCCTCCAGAGAACCATCCCTATTTATCTAGCCATCCTGGACTTCCTGGACTGGGATTTTCCTCCCCTTTAACTTAGTGCTTCCCCTTCTTCCATTCCCCGCCGTCGGCATTTTATCCTTCTCGGGATAATCGGTTTCGCGCGTCCCGGAGGTCTGGCCGGATGGGCGCACGTGTGAGCTCAGGCGCTGGGACTTGGGCACAAGGGGCGCAGGGGGGAGGGGGAAGGACCCGATTGCTGATCATACAGCAACAGTTAGTTTCGAGCGAATCCCCCGGAAACTAAAGGACCTGAAGCTATGGCTTTCAATGGCACTGTAACAGCAATTAACTGGAAGCCGAGCATCTTTAACGCTGTGATCTAGGCAGCAGTTCACGTCGATTTAAGCGCTTCTCACTTGCATTCATTTTCTCCTCGGTTTCCGGAGGGTCCTTATGGCTCTTCCTCCTTTTCCTCATTTAGGTCTTAAAGATCTTTCACACACACACACGGGCGCGTTGCTTCAGGAACCAGAACCACACACCAAGTATTCCATTTTCGCCCTACTCGCTTTTGTCCTGGACGGTTCTCCTCCGTTCCTCTTTAGTTACTCCTTTCTGCCTTGCACCTCCCCACCCGGGGTCCATGCTTTAGTGTAGTTTAGTCACACTGTATAGATGAAGATGGAGTTTTTGTTTTGTTTAGGGACCCCTCGTTTTCTCCAGAGGACCTACAAAAACGAGGCCTTTCTTCTCGGGAGTGGTGAGGAGGAGCGCCCGCCTGGGCTCCCCATGGCTGGACGGCGCCCCCGAAGCTGGTGGCGCGGAGCTCCTTCCCTTGGATGTCACAGGAGCGGGTGGGGATGGAGGCCGTCCAAGTGGAGGGAAGCGGAGCGAATAGGAGAGGGGAGTCCTGCGCGGGGAGGGGAAGGGAGAGGCCAGAGTGTGTTTGGAGAGCGCGGGATTAAGCGAGGAAGAGAGCCCTGACCCCGGGATCAGCGGCTAGTCAAACCTATTTACAATCACCCGGCAGGAGAAGCGCTGATGGCTCCCGCTGCTGCCAGCGGCCTGCCCGGCAACAAGTGAAACCCGAGCGCCCTGCTGCGCTCGCCAGGGGAATGAGCCAGGAAGACCCAGGCCGGCTCTCTGGCGCGCTCGCTCCACCGGGAGGAGACGCCATGCCCTGGCGGGAAAGAGGCGCAGGCGTTTGGGCTGCTGCCCTGCCTGGATGTGGCACGGAGGCGGCTGGTGCTTGGTAGCCCTGCACTTGGAGTGGCAGCACCAATCTAATTTCTGTGGCCCTTTCCAAGCTTCCTCTTTCGCCTGCTTTCTCCCATGAACCCCGAGAGCCGAGGGAGGGAGAGACATGGCCGACCAGGGAATTCAAGACACGTTTCCCCTCTCTTCCAAGCACGACGAGGCTGAGCGCGAGTTCACATGTGCTATGCCTCAAGGGTGGCTTGCAAGTGAGAAACAGGCTTCTCCTCTCATCAGACCCCACAGACCAGGTTGGGAAACCTGTAGCCCTCCAGATTGTTGGACTACCCCCCCCCCGCCCGAATTGGTCGTGGGACCAACGACACCGGGGGGGGCACTGTGTCCCCACCTCTGCCCCCCGACACAGCCTGCCATCTCTGATTCAGCTATGCTTGGGTCATTCTTCAGCAAGGAGGCTGCGCGTATGAATAGTTATCCCTCGAAGGCCACACGGCCGTCAAGAGTGCACCTCTCGCCCTAGAATGTAAAACATATCGACACGAATGTATGTCCCGCGTAT